CCTGCTGGAGGTCCACACTCCACCCTCTTCCAGTTTATCCTGTAACCTTGTTGGTGCTAGTCAAAGATTTATGCCCTTGGAACTCATCAAAAACATTTAAATTGGAGAACCTGGCAAACACTGCTTAAGCCAGTGCTCCTGGTGGCAGTGCCAGTGAGGAGTCTTGCTGACAGCATGACCCCTGATATGACTCAATGGGAAGGGCACGTTGCCTCTGTTGTCTTCCCCCAAACCCATAACCACAGACTCATCATGAGAAAGACATCAGGCAAAGCAAATCGAGGGACATTCTCCAGGTGCCTGGCTGGTCTCCTTGAGATGGTCAAGGTCTTAGGAAACCAGAGAAGACTGGGAAACGGCCATAGCCCAGAAGGAACGAAGGAGACATGACACCTAATTACTGTGGATCCTGGAATAGAGACGGAATTAGTGGAAAAACTGGTGAAATCCCAGTGAAGCCTGGAAGTTAGTCAATAGTAACGAACCCATCTCTGTAAGTTGTTTCTTAGTTGAGGGTCACACCATGATAATGCATGGTGTCACAACACGAGGGAAATTGTCTGTGTAACCTTTGTAACTTCTCTGTCCACCTAAAATTATCCCAAACTTAAAAGTTCATTAAAAATTAAAATGCCAGGAGGAGGTGTACTGAGTTACCAAGTGAGTTTGAGGGTGCTGCCAAGGAGCCACACATAGTTCTCTGCCCAGCAACCAGAAGTCACAGCCAGATGGGCTCCCAGGGTGGCAGGACCCTCCAGAGAAGCCACCAAGCCGCAGGCTGTAGAGGAGGCAGGCGGCTGGTGTGGCTGTTGGCACTCTCCCTTCTCCGGCCAGCCGACCTGACGCCTTGCCCAGAGCTAAACAGAACCAGTGGTGGAATCTCGTACCCTTTTCCACAGCCTCTCAGTGATTTGCTATGTCATCTGCATCAGAGCCCCCTGGGTGCCCATTCAGTGCAGCTTCCTAGGCTCCGACCACCCCTCAGTGCGTTAGACTTTCTGGCAGTGGGATAGTAATCTGCATTTTTACCAAGTTCTCCATCATCATGCACACTGAAGGGTGAGGACCATGGCACCAAACTGGGCAGCTGTCCAGGTCCTGGAATCTCCAAGCCTGTCCGACTTTGCCCAGACCTCTTGCATTTATGCTGTTGAAGGACCAGGATGCCAGCGCTGGCTCCTGCCTCCAGTGCTAGTTTGTCACTGTGTGATGGGAACTGTGTTCCTGCGGCCAGGGCTGCTAAAGCCAGGAGGGGAGAATTCACGCAGCTGCTCTTCAGGACAAAGGCCACAGCAAGCGGCAGACACAGGGCCAGAGGCCAGCGTGTCCCCGAAGGAGGCAATTTTTAATCTTTTTTGAGCTCGATTTATTATAGTTTAAATACTCGCTTCTCTACTACCCTCTCCTTTAAAAACAATAATGAATGTGAAACTTACTCAGTGACAACACCAGGATCAAAAAGCAAGAGGAATTTGGCAGGGGGACTAGTATTCAGGTTCTGAGAAGGCTACTGGAAGCCCCTTCCTCCCCGTGCTCCCCCACCACGGCCCCCCCTTATCGCAGTGGCAGGTCTGCTGCCTACCCCTGAGAGATCAAGGGCCGGGGGAGTCCAGAGACGGGAGCAGGTAGCCGTTCGGACCAAGGGAATGCTTGAAGGCCTCAGGGTCCCCGGAGTGGAGGCCAGTGAAAGTGCAGGCTGGCGGGAAGGGCATAGCAGCTGCCCCCACTGTGCAGGTCCTGCTAAGGCCCCATCCACACGCAGGCGTGCAGTCTCAACCAGAAATCGTGTCCAAGTTCTGTGTTGTCCAGCCTGGCATGCAGGGCCCCTCGGATGTATTAGGCAGTGAGAATACAGCCTCTGCCCTTGGGAGCCCTGCGTCCAGTTTTCCAAGAGTTTTCATATATTTATCCAGTGAATATCCGCAGATGACCTCGAATTGAAAAAAAAATTACAGTCTCAAAGTATGTGGAACAGGGAGGGATCTACTTGGAGATCCTCACCCTCTCTTCAGTTTCCAGAATCAGTGAGTATGAGGTGGAAACCGAGGTGCCGACAGACTGCTGACAAAGGGCATTCTGTTTCAGATCAAGGAAAACCTGGAACATCTTCAAGCTTCATTAACTATATGTAAAAGGTGTCTGAAAATTATTCCTACTGTCATTAAGATCCCTCTGGATAACGTGTTAAGTGGTGACAAAATTTTCAAAGGGTTTAAGACGAATTGACTTAAAAACTAGAAAAGATTTTTAGCATTGAAACCTACGTCCATTTGTTTCCCTGCTCTTCATGTGACAGCGCTTCCTAATCCGAGGCGGCACTCTGAGCCTCAGCCCCTCCTCCTTTCCTGCTTGCGAGGTAGAGGGCGAATCGAGGCTGTTTCTGTAAGAAATAATAATTATTCTCTGTTTAAAACAGATTCGACAGTTAGCTGCCAAGGCTGATGTTTGCAGCTGGGCCGGTGGCTAAAATGTATACCTCATAAGAGATCCTAGTCCCTGATATTTTCAGCTGTCAAAATAATCTCACGTTTGCAGCAAGCCTTATCTGAGGCAGAAGGAAATCATTTCTGCTGCTTTTAAAACAGATCCTGTCTCCAGATCATGATAATGCAGTAATGTTCAGGTTTACAGATGTGGGTGGGGGATCAGGGAAGACAACTCATGCACCTCATGTCTGGAGCAGTGTGGAAAGGATCTGGGTTTGAATCTTGACTTGGCCTCTGGCCAGCTGTGTGGACTTGGCCAGTCACTTGAGATCTTCCAGGCTCAATTCCTCCATCTGTAAAATAGGCCAGGAAATTCTAATGGAAGGATACGTAGAATAAAAACCACATATAACAATATGGATGAATTTCACAAACAGCACAAAATGAAGCCACTTGTGAAGGGTACCTGCAGTACGAATTCATTCATGGACAAAATGGACAAGTGAGTCCACCCTCTGAGGAGTGGGACCGTGGGTGCTCTTGGGTGCAGGGGAGTGGCTGGACAGGAGCTCGTGGAGGCTTATGAGTGCTGAAAACGTCCTATACTTCGAGCTGGACATTGGTTCCACATATTCAGTTCATGAAGATCAGGCTGTATGTATACTTTTTAAAAAGGAGGGGAGAGCCCTGGCCGGTGTGGCCCAGTTGGTTGGGTGTCGTCCTGTGCGCAGAGAGGTTGCTGGTTTGATTCCCAGTCAGGGCACATGCCCAGGTTGCAGCCTCGATCCCCGATGGGGGTCATGCAAGGGGCTGCCAATCAGTGCTTCACTCTCACATCAATGTTTCCCTCTCTCTCCCTCTCCCGTCCTCTCTTTGAAAATCAATAAAAAACCTTTAGAAGAATTGAAATAGGGCACCATAACAGCTCTCTACGCCAAAGGGTGATTACTGTTCCTCTCTCAATGTGAGTTTCCTCCTTTGACGTGTGGTGCCATTTCTCCTCTGATGCCCTGCGAAGGGGTCCCGCGAGTGTCTGTGCCAGCTGCGCATTTTGAGAGCTAGAGCCCAGGAACATCCACAGCTGGTTTGTCTGATTCCTCCCTGTGTTTCCCATCATGAAGACATTAACTGTCAGGCTTTTTCCTTGGGACGCTGTGAGTCCCTGTGGGTATCTGAGCTCCATGGGTCTTGGAGTCAACATGCCACATCCCACTTGCTCCTGACTCTGCCCACAGCTGGGCCTAACGTTCCGTGCCCAGCTGGAGCGGGGTGTCATATCCTGGCCCGTGTGCATAAGTTCAATTAAGAATAGTCTTGTTGAAAACAACTGCTAGAGAAAAAACAGGACTTGAACTTTATAACATTTAAGCAGTAAACTATTGGTAATTGGATTCATGGGTTTCTATATAATTTCAAAGCATTTAGCACTTTGAACAAAGAGAAATTCCTTTAGACATACATACGGCAAAAGCCACACCCAGTAAACTTTGAACCTTGCAGTACTCATAAAACCCCTGTGATGAAAGTCTTAAGCCTCTGTGCTTGGACACCATCTCTAATGAAAGTCGATAAATTAACACGTATAGGCTGAGGCAAAAGTAGGTTTACAGTTGTTGGGATGGCGCAGGGAGAGTGAGACATCTGGTCGACGTAGGTGATGGGAAGGGGCCTGTGAGAGCGAGTTAACAGGGTTAGCAGGAGTGACAGGTACAACCTTTTAGGTGCAATTGCGTAAAGGTAAAGCCACTGCTTCTCCGTGTCTGTGGGTGGCACCCTGCGCGGCCGCCTCATGGACACTGTTGCACCTCTCTCGTTAGATTTAGGTTGCTGGGGCCTCGCGGTCAAGGACTGCCTATTTTAGTCCTTAATTGCTCCCACGGTGCCTGAAAAGTGTTGGTTTGTGTAATGGTTGAAATGCCTAGATCATTGTGAACTATATTTTTGGTATGTTTGCAGCTCTAAGCAACCCTTTGCAGTAAGGATCTCCATTGTCCTTCATACGACCTTCATGTATTATGCCCCCATGCTTGTCTGCCTGCCCAGATATTGGCCATTATGGTAATGCAGCTCCTACATGTGGCCCATGGTGCCCCTGGTTGCTTGTGCATTTCTGGCTGGGGAGGCGCAGGGGGCACAGGTTAGAGGGAGGAAAAGAGAGGCCCCCAAGGCCAGTCAAGAGAAACCAACCAGTGTACTTGGTGGGGACGACACCGGTGGCAACAGTTATTTCTGAGCATTAAAAAAATAAACTAAGCCCTTGAGACGTTAGGGGAGTTAAATGATGGAATGATGGAGCATGGTGGAAGAAAAAATTAAAATGGGAGGATTGTCAGGAAACTCCCAAATGAGTCAAATTAGTTTCGTGGACTGGACCACACTAAAAATATTTACTAGATGTTGAAACTGAGTATTGACAGCTAACGTTGAAATACGTTGTTCTATTTCTGTTTCGTGCTAAAATGAAGATGCCCAAACCATTTTCCCCCTTGGAGTCAGTCCTCGGGTGCAGAGCCCTGTAAATGTCAGAACCGTGGCCGGACTGTGTGCGATTCTCCCTGTGCTTTCTCGTGACAGGAAACAGCAGAAACTCGCCCCCGTCCTATGGGTTCCGACTGTCACCAGAAGAAATGAGGAGAACACGGCTGCACAGGTTCGACCGCCAGTGAGGACACCTAGCATCTTGGGCAGACGTGGTCCAGGGGTGTAATCATTGCCCGTGTGTGGTTCCTCCCCAAACCCTGCTCACTTTAAACAGAAGCAGAGCGTGAGATTATCACCCTAGACTTCTCGGATCCGCCCTGTCCCGTGGCCCGAATCTAGAGTCACAGACCGGTTGGCCTGTCTTGAAACCAGCCTTGCTGAGTGCTGCCCACAGCTTCCTGGGAGCAGCCTCCCTCCTGGCCTTGTTTTCTCTCACAGACAAGGTCAGCGCCTCCATGCGGGGACCATGTCCACACTCCTCTCTCTGTCTACTCCACGGCGCCTAGGCCTTGTTTTGTTTTTGATGACTCTGACCTTCACCGGGAGGTTTGTCTCCACCAGCTCTGAAGATCAGGCTTTATCCGCCTGCCGTGCTCCATGGTCGACCTTGCAGGAAGTCGGGAGCTGTGCCTGGCCCTCCTGGCACGTTGCCTGACTCTCCAGGACCAGGATGTGGCTCCCACAGCACTCTGTTCCTGTCTCCTTGTGCAGGAGCCCTGGCTCCTAGGGCCCCGGCGTCTCGGTGGCGTTGGCAATGCCCTTAGTTTGGTCTTACATTGCTCTCTGCCTTATGGAACATCTGACCAAAAAAGCTTCAGTGAAACCTCAAGTGGGGAAACCACACTCTACTAGGTATCAGGCCAGCAGTTTGGGCAGCCTCGCCAGTGACCATCTGTGCGCCTGGGATGGGACCTGCATTTGACCGTCAGCAAAGTGGCAGTAAGTGCCACAGGCAAAGTAGAGCCAAGGCATTCAGTGGGATGTTCACTGAGAAATCGCTCTTGAAGTTTTTTCTCATAAAAGTGCCTTTTCATTGGCCACTATAATAGCCACTTGTCTACTCACGTGTCTAACACACTCCCCTGCTGTGCTGTCTGTCCAGGTCATTTAAGATGCTTCCTGGTGCTTGTGTTTCCTGAACAAAAGGACTGTCCGATATCACTGATGTCTTAGTCACTGAGATATTTATTTTTTAAAGAGTTGGAAGCAAAAAAATTTCTATTTCAGTTTATCTAAGATTTGTATAGAGTTTTCTGATTGTGAAATTAATATACATGTCCCTTGTATATACATAAAGCAAACATGCTATGGAAGAAAATAAGCCACATGTTAACAAGTTACTTTGGGGAGAGGGGGTATATTGGATTTTGCTATCTGTTTTTTATAATTTTATATTGCTCTCTCAAAAACATATGTATATATGTGTGTATCACTTTTGCAACAAGAAAATTGATTTATATAATACTAAAACAATAAATATGTAATCAAGAAAATGGACTTAGTAAGTGCTGTCTATTGAGAAAATTCACACTATAAACAGAAATACAAATATATACATGTACAGTTTTTAAATCACCTGAATTCTCACCGCTCAGAGTGCCCAGGGTTAATACTTGGGGGTATTGCTTTCTCTGTTTTTCCTTGTATGTCTTTGACAAATTTGGAGCATACCAACTGTGCTGTTCTATATCCAGTTCCTAATCTGAACTGACCTCCAAAAGGCTCTGACACTTCCATATAAATGAGCGAAGGAAACCACTTGAGACCTGGGTGCACTTTGACCTTCCGCCTGGCACAGTGCTACCTGGGCTCTTTGGGTTAATTTATCATTGAAATAAAGCTACAGCTTGCATATCATACGAATTGTATCTCTGAGTCTGGTGACTTTAAACATATTTAAATTAAAGTGTTCAACTTAAATGTCATTCTTCTCTCCTGTTTCCCATTAGGAGTAGCCTCACCGTTACACGCCGTCTTCTGATAGCACGCTGAACAGTAATCTGTTAGAACTTACATCTTTCCTTAATGTGACTTGAGCACAGCTACACAAGGACATGCCTTCACTGGAGCGTGGACTGAGTGGCTCTGGGACCCAGCCTGTGTCGTCTTTCTGCACTTTCCCCCTCCACCACCTAAGGCTGGCCCTGGCTCCTGGTGGGAACTCATGAAATGTTAGTTTCCCAGCAAACTAGGGTTTCTTTAATGCATTAAGTCTAATCACTCTATATGGAAGTGTTCTTTTTGTTTTTGTTTTTGCTGTTGGGGCTAAAAATAGTAGCTGCTGGCTCTATTTCGTCAGATCTGAAGACACTGGAATTGGGTTTGGGATGATCCAGCTGTACTATGCACACCTTCTTTATTCATGGAGTAGAGCATCACTAAGCTTTGGAGACATGGGAAAGGTCATTTTAGTTATAAATATAAACCAATTATCTTAGCACAACAGTAAAGATGTTCTGGAAATTGTTATAATTACTCCGTTCAGTTAATAGTTTTGCCTGTAACCAGGGCTTATTTCCCATATCCATCTGTTTCGTTTTCTACAACAAGGGATCCCCAAAGTTATGCCAACAAATTGGGTTGAGAAAGACAAAAGTAAGTGTAGTCTACGAATTGTCTCTAAGAGGAGATAAGCATATAGAGCTGGTTTTTAAATATTATTTCTTTGCTTAATAGCAATTTCTTGTCTGGTCAACATCCATTTTCCACAGTTTGATTATGGTCAATGGACTTATAAAGCATCTTAATTCAGAATCTTGGTTCTCAAGGTGAGGGAGTGGTTAAAATTGCTCCCTCTGAACGACCTTGAAAGTGTTGCCTGTGATTGCAAAGTTGTACAGGGCTGTTCGAGCCTCCTCCATCATTCTGTCTGCTGCTGAGGCTCAGACTGAGCTGTCGGTGGCTGGTTTTAGCAGCATCAGGGCCAGGCTATTATTTGGCATCTGTTCTGCTGCCTGGGAAGTGAGTTAGCTCAAAGGGTGAGGTAAGATCTGCCACCAACCAGTCTGGAAGACAGAGGGTGTCCCCCGCCAGGCCTCCTTGTTCCCAGTCGTAGCTTCTGAGAGATTCAGTATTCAGGAAAGAATTGTATTCATTGAGTCATTTTAAAAAACATAGCGCCTTTTCCCTTCCTATGGGTCATTACAGTCATTCCCTGTATTTTTTGGCCCCTAGTCTTTCATTTCAGAATCGCAGACTCCATGTACAAGGACCTTAAAATCTCTCAGTTCCTTGCTCTGCTCAATTTTTAAAATACCCCTGCGCTCAGTTCTACTTAGCTCTGCCCGTTCATTTTCCAGAATTGACTCTTGTGATGCCACCCATCATCTCCTACCTCTTATTGTCTCTCTGTTGCCAAAGGATGAAGGTCAGACTCATTAGCCTCAACCATGGGGGTGCCAACCAGCCTTTGGGCCTCATTCGATTTATCCATAAGACTTTGCACTTCTGCTGACTGGCTCACCCCTAAGCTGTGAGTTTTCCTGATCCTGTGACTTAGTCTGAGATGTGTTCTGACATGGGACAGTCTTCTCTCTGTCCAACCAGATCCTCCCTGTCCTGTCCCCGACACCACGGCCCTGAATGGCCTCATTGGGTCACCTTCACAGTGTCCTCAGGCCCCTTGGTATTGCAGGTTATCCTCAATGAGAAGCTGTCTTTCTGTCTAGATTGTAGCTTCACGAGAGCAGGGACCACGTTTGTGTGTATCTCCTTGTACTTTGAACAATGCTTTGTCTGGACTATCAGAACCAATACATGTGTGTGGACTGAAACAGAAGCTCGTTTATAATGCCACCATCGGAAGATGTAAAACGAGGTGACTGCTGCTTATTGGTATTGTTTTACATTTTCCCCCCTTGAGTCCCATCAAGTGAAGGATAACTTGAAGGACAGCATTTGCCCTAGAAACAAAATTGGGGGCCTTTTCCAGGTCTTCAAAGGATGACAGGCCTACTGATCAGACGGTGGGGACATATCACCCACCTGCCTCACTCTGAGGACACACCCCACCCCACTGGATGCTGCGACCTAGAGCGCAGCCCAAGATTCCAGTACGTCCAAGAAGGTCCCCGAGGAGTCCTGTGACTACCCCCAACCCCGGCCACTGCCCTCTCATAGGTTTGTGTTTGATGGGTCTATGCTAACGCTTTTTTCTTCTGTGGAATTTAAGGGTAGGGACAGAGTGACCTCGACATTGTGTTCAGATGGCAGAAATGAACTGGCGGATTTGAAAATACAGTTTATACCTTATCGAGGAAAACTGGGACTTTGCTAACAGAAATCATTACATTTGCTGGTGGTACGTACTGCTTCTTAGGAAGAGAAGGGTGTCACCTTGAGCAAGTCACTTTTTCTGCCTACACCTCAGCCTCCTTACCCGCAAAAGAGGGTCGTTGAGAGGTTGAGAGGGAGCATGTACAGCAGGGTGAACACGGCTCCTGTCACCCAATTCCTGCTAGTACATAGCTCAAGAAACGTTAAATATCCTCACATTTCTCTTCGCTGAGAGGTGGGACCCGAGAGCACTGAAGGCCCCTCCAAATGGAAAAGATTAACCCCTTGAAACCGTTATTGCCCGTCTGCCTGGCACTCAGCGCCGAGAGACTATTATCACTGCCTAACCCCTACCTTCCAGTTACTGTGGTTATCAGGAACAGCGCCTCACGTACACTTTAATCTCTTTGTAGTTGTATCTCTTACTTTAAATCCTTAGGACAACCCTGAGAAGCGAGTTGTCTCATTTTCCTTCAATTAATGGGGCAACTGGGGCCGCAGGGTCTGCGCCCAGCCCACTGCCGTGCAACTTGACGGGCTGATGCAGACCCCGGCGCTGAGGCCCAGCTTCCTGCCCACCCCCCACCACATCACCGTGTGCACCGTGCTTCCCGGAGCCTGGGAACCCCATCCTTTCCCCGGCAGAGGGGTCCCGTTTAGGCTCCCCACGCAGCCCACACTTCTGCCTGTGGCCTCTCCTGTTTCCCCCCTAGACCAGCTGCAAGGCAGGCCACACTCCAAGGTACATAAAAAAGTAAACTCACTTTGCCTTGAAAGACAATAAATGCACCAAATACATCACAGTTGGGAGGTCATCACAGAATTTTATATATAATAAATGATATACAATGTAATACAACAAAAACTTAACTGTCAATAACAGATCAGGCATCTTGCAAATGGTAAATGTTAAAGGTCTTTCCTTTATAACCACAGGTTAGAAAAACGGATGCAATGTATTGGACCCATTTCACATTTTTCCTATGAATCATTAAATATTTAAGCACCATAAAATTCAAGCATTTACGTGGACGTGGCAGCCAGCCTCGGTGGTTTAAAATGCATTATGCAGAGTCTCTGCAGATAATGACAGTGACAATTGCACAGTACTGATTTTTAATGTCATTGTTTTGTTCCCTGCAGAACTTCCTGATAATGTTCCTGCAGGAAACTGTGAGTCTTTTTTTTTTTTTTTGGTATAGTAATTTTGAGAATTGAAATAAAATAGCATCCCTAGACATTAAGAATTGGCCAGGTTTAAATAATTCTAATTATTGTATGCCTGTGAGAATCATAATATAACCCTATGTAAAAAAAAAAAAAAAAAA